AAATGTTTTTCTTGCATTCTGAGAGCAGTGATTTTAAATGGAGAACGACAAAAGAAAAACCAAAAATAATCAAATTTATAACTTTCAAAATCACTAATTCCCACCTTTTCTCAGTGAAAGACCTCTTCATTTTTAAATTTGTTTCCATTTTTCCTCGTGTATTCACTCCTTTTTCAGCAAAGGCCTCCTATGTTCGGTAGGAATGCTGTTCATTATGCTAGTGGTGCTCGTCTTCTCCACATTCATCTCTCGATGGCAAATGAATAAAGCATTTGGCGTCATCATGATCGTCTCCTACATCGCATTCTGCCTCTTCTCTGTTGCCCTCGAAACTGATCGTATCACATGTCCAATGAACCTCTGTTAATTACATAATCCATCTACCTGTTCAAGTTAAAACTTATCCTTCTTCATCATATTTATGGAAATTTCATCCTTTTGTAAAGTGGAATGCCCATTTTATCATATTTCATCGTACTGAATCTATTGTCTCTATCAAAAATTTCCAAATCCCAATGACCCGAAGTATTAATAAACGGGTCTTTACTGTTGCCCAGTTCAAATATAAACATTTATTTGCGGAAACAATTACCACATTATATGTTATATGTACATTTTTGCAATAACTTATATCACAGTAGGTGTTTGTGAATTGTGTAAGGCATTGACGTCAATCTATGTGTGGCATTTATAGAAATAAAGTTGAAAAACCACCAGCATAGAGTTAGTTACCACCCATTTCCATTTAAATTGCAATAGATATTAAAAAAATTATTAGACACTACGATCAGTTGCCTCCAAACCAACTCGATGAGATCTTGTCGACGAATGAACTTAACGACGGTGTGTTCTTCATTCCTAAAATAAAGAAAAGTTAAAGAAACAGACATAAGTAGTTACATTGGAAATTATAGGAGAAATTTCTTATATTCAGATAATCAAATGAGTTAAAAATCAAATTACTTTAATTTCCGAATAACTCGAAAAACAGAAATTCCGAAAATTCGATTTTTCGAGTAGTTCGAGTATTTGAACTCATATATCCGATTTTTTAAATTTATTCAGATCGTAAAATTTAATAGAAGATTCCGAAATGATATGAATTCGAACGTTGTCCATATGGTCGAATTATGTTTGGTACAATATATTTTATAGACATCCAATAAATATAGTTGTTAAAAACACAACCTAATTTCCATTTTTATAATTTACGAACATGCATCAGTAGCAATAGATTCTTGCAAGTAAGCTCCGCGAAATTATAAAAGCAACAAAGGACTAAAAGAAATCAACGCATAAGGTAAGATAGACAACTCCGTAATTCCTACATATAATAAATCTTTGTAACCTTTTCCAAACAAACATCACTTTAACCATAATGTACAGCACCAACTTACCAGTGGTATTTGAATTAGCCAGAAGCTTATTACGAGGCGCCTTTGCTGCTTCCACTCGTTTTGCGACATTTTCACCAGTCTGAAATTTGCGAAATCAAAAAAAAAATCATCAAAAGCTATTTGATTCTCAAATGCTGATTCTTGGTCTAACCATTAGGAATTATAGTGAAACACAGGAGAGATGAAATCATATCATTACATAGGCTTTCCCTTCCTTTATTCATAGGATCTAACATTATTCAGTTACTTTTACTAATGACTAAACAATTGCTTGAATAGGTACGTCAATATTAACAATAATAAGCTTATTCATTTGAACTATAGGCTACAGGATGTCTCAAAGAAAGTTCAAACTCTAATGGGTTCAACTCTTTTACCTCAACATACTTCCTGAGCATCAAGTTTCAAATATGAACGAGTTTTATCCAGCTTGAAACAACTTCCCTTCGGTTTACATCAAAGTAAATGTAATTGATTCAGGGGACTTGAAGACAAAAATGATCTTTTAAGCAAAACTATCTGTAATGTGGAATTCACTCTAGATACGATAGCATAACGATACGGCGCCGTACTGCGAAAAAAAAATTTTTTTTTGGAGCCCCCTATC